ATAATAATAATAATAATAATAATAATAATAATAATAAAGCAATAACGACAATTCAAGTAGTAATATATACAACAACAACCACAACAACAATAATAATATCATATAATGATATCAAACAACAATATTAGTATCAAAAACCATGTCAACAATAATATACTACAATTGGCAAATCAAATATCAACACCTTCTCGAGTTTCATTCATTGCATTCAACATTTTAATTCACTATCAACGATGTCTCTCGAAACGTTCAGCGTTTGAATTTCGGAAAAATCGTCGAAAATGTTGGAAAATTTTCACATTTTCACAATAATTCTGCAAAAAACGATTCGTTCGCATAATGAGAGAAGAACAAATGAAATCGCAAGTTACAGTACGTCAATGAGAATACGAAACGTTAACACAACCAACTGCCATCCAATCTCCGCTCATAATCAGATCCTATTAGCTTAATGTATAATATCTACACAAAATGCAACCTGAAATTCAGCTGGATCTAGAAAAATTCAGCCTGAAATTCAACTCCACCTAAAAAATTCAACCTGAGATTCAACTCCACCTAAAAAATTCAACCTGAAATCCAGCTGGAGCTTACTGCTGAAACCAGTCGAAATTTTTCACAATAACACAATGAAAATGCCGCATTCTGTTCTAGTAATGTTTCACCATTGGAATCTGCAATTCCGTTCATTCCAATGTCCAGAAACTCTGCTCTTTTCTGCTCTCCAAATATACACGAATACAATTTGACGAAGGATTGTGTAACGAGGAACATATTCATCTGAAGTTTAGCGTTCGTAATTTATCCAAAATACTCGGGGTTCGCGGCTTTCGTGGCCTCAACTTTGGCGTTGGAAAACGTTGCTCGTAGATATGCGGGTAGGTCTTCTTGAACTGAAATTTTAAAATATCACTTGAAAATTCTCATTTTCGCCTTTTTCCAGTCCTAAATTTTCCCAAATTTTTACCAACTACTTTGTGAACACTTACAATTTTTCAATTTATTGACAATTTCCTCAAAAATTTCCCCACATGGATCCATTTTCTCAGAAACAATTTTCACGAAATTATATGGTTTCCGCTGAAAGCCTCAAAAAATTTTGCAAATTCCACACGAAAGAGCAACTTTTTTCAGTTGTTTTTTGCGCTCGGCAACTGATAAGTTCTCATTGGCGACGATTTCGTCCAACAACGCCATCAGATGCGATTCGATGCCTTTCTCGCGTTGCTCTTCGTATTCTCGCGATTTTATTGGCTCGCAGAACTGAATTTTGGGACGGCTCTCGCTNCACCGCTCGCCTCACATAAATCCTTGTTTATCAATTCAATCTGCAAGTGACAACCCTTAATTCAACTTCAAGAAGTTATTTTTTATCGTTTCACTTGTCTGTTCGGAAAAATTTCTGCTGAAAATTGTCAGAAACGAAGAAAAAACTGTGCAAATTCCACACTTACAATTAGTGCATAGAGACATCATAAAACTATTGCTCATAAAATCACAAAATTTTAAAGATTCAAGTTTCCGGATCAAATCTCTGAATACTGCTTAGAAGAAAGGGAATTCCTAAAGGTGACTATTATTATTACTATCATAATAATAATTATTATTATCATTATTATTATTATCATTATTATTATTATTATCATTATTATCATTATTATTATTATCATCATTATAACCACAACATATTTATTATTGTTACCATGGCAATTTAAGCATTTTTACAAAAGCGAACCTTTTCTTTGAATTTCTTCGACAACTTCTCTTCGATTTCCAATTTGAAATCGTTTGGCACCACAAACAAATCGGATTCATT